CTGAGGTGCAGAGGGTTGACAGAGTCATTCGCTGCGCAGCTGCTCAGCAAATCCATGTCTCTCCTGTGCCAAAGCCCACACCTTCCAGCACCGCAGAAGCCTCCTCGCTCACCTAAGACCCAAGTGGGTAAGCTGAGGCACAGAGAGGGAGGTCATCCAAAGAGCCACCATCCCCGGGATCCTGAGAGTTGTTCTGCCCATGGGCAGCTTGTCCCTGGCTCCGTCCTTGGCACAGCGGCATTTTAAATGGGTCTGAGGCCTTATGCCATGTCGATGTCAGAGCAAAATGATATCAACACATCCCCCGGCCCCTCCCAGCAAGCCTGGCTGGAGCCAGATGGCCCCTGCCCCTGCCACCAGGAGGTGGCAGTGCCCTGGGCAAGGGGAGCTCAGCACACGAGCAAGGGCTGGTGGCAGGGAGCACCCCCCGGGCGAGAGGCCCAGAACTAGATCTGAAACGCAGATGCGCCGGCCCCCACGCTACACCCCTGGGAAGTAGGGGCTGTTTTGTTAGTTCTTTCCCTCCCATCTTACATGTGCAGAAGCTGTGGCCCAGAGAGGTTAAGTAACTTGTCCAGGGTCACACAACAACGACAAGGCAGACTGGCCGCCTGAGCCAGGCTGGCAGAGCCCAGAGCGCTCGTTCTGCCGTGTAAGAAGCTGGGGACCTCGAGCCGCCCCACTCGGAGCCAAAGCCAGTCTGCCCCCTCTGGCCCTGCCCCCCGAGGCAGGCTATTTCATGCCGCTGGGCCACACTGTCTTCATCTGGAGAGCTAATTCCCGAATTCCATCTTGTCAAGGGGGAGAAAGCACCAGCCCGCCGCATGGTGAGCGCGCAACACCTGGTGGCGGTCACCAGCGTCGCCGTTAGCCTGACGGGCCACACCCATAACACTCCTGCTGGATGACAAGGCCAGAGCCAAGAGGTCCGGCCGAGGACAGGAAGTCTCCCCACTGCGCCCGCCATCTCCTTTTGGGGGCCCCACGTGCCCAAGGCAGGGTGGGGGTAGCGCGGTGGCCCTGACGCCCGGCCCCAAGCCTGCTGCTGACACTGGCCGTGCCAACCACAAGAAATTTTAAAAATCCACCTTCTTATCTCAGAGCAGGTGACACTGCGGGAATGTTGGCAGGGTGCCCCCTCTCCCTCCCTGCTAGGAAAGAAGCCGGGGGCGGGGGGGGGCACAGTGCTGAGTCCCATGGGCCCCACCCCCCAAAACATACCCACTACTGGCTCTGAGACCCTCTCAGACCAGAACAGTCCAGGAAGATCAGAACCTGCAGCCTCCGAGCCAGGCGCCTGCCACCGCAGAGACCCCTGCCCAGGCTCCGAGCATTTCCCCACCGCAGAGGCCTGCGGGGAGCTCCCACTGGGGACCCTGCGCCTGGCTCCTGGGAATCCTCTTTCCCACCAGTATTCTTTCCGGATAATTCCTTATTGTTTCCGAAAACCGCCTGTCTGCCTGGCGTGTTGGGAAGAAATACAAGACCTTGAATCTGGAGTCTTAGTCAGCATGGCCTTGAATACACCCCTTCCCTGCTCTATGCCTCAGTTTCTCCATCTGTGACATAGGAATGTTACCCTCTCTTACTTCAGGAGGAAGCATGAGATAAGCCTCTGAGGCAAGGGACACTCTGGAACCCTTACACGCGGTGCTCTTTGACCCGAGGCAGGTGGCTTCTCCAACCTGAGTTAGGAGCACTTCCCAGCCTGAGGACAGAGGGCCATGGTCAAAGGAGCTCCTATGTATAGCCGGGGAGCCCCGGAGGCCAGCGGCAGACCAGGCCTACTTGTGGGACCAGCAGGAAGCAGGCTCCCCTCGAGTATTTGTTGAATGACTATCTACCTGGATGGACAGACAGATGATATCGCCGCTTTAAGAAAGTGCTGTCCAACAGGGCCGCTTCCCGTCCTCCTCCAGACCCAGAGGAGGGTGGCCAGGCACAGGGGTGGGGGCGCGAGGCCGAGGGGCGTGGAAGGACACTTCCAACCTTGGACACGCGGCGCGGTGAGAGAGGAAGCAGCGCCGCGGGAGGGCACGGGCGGCACCGAGGCCCCGCCCCGGGCCGCCTCCGCCAGGCCTGCCTGGGGAAGGCCAGGAACAATGTCGGGCAGGTGCCGCCGGGCAGCGTGAAAGGCCCAGCCCGGTGTCATTGTCAGCGCTCAGCCAAGTGCAGAAAAGCAATTTTACTGGTCACGCCGCTTGCTCCCCTTGGAAATTTTTAAAATTCTTCCGATTCGAGCTATCTGCGGTGTCCCGGGTCGTGTGGAGAAGGGATTTTATTAAATTCCCAGCGTCCCGCTTCCCGGGGTGGCCGGCAGTGAGGGCGGGGTTCACCACATGGGGGAGGGGGAGGGCCCTGTCTGGCATGGACTATGCTCAGGAACATGTGGCTGGGGGCAGGGGCCCATCCTGGGCCTGGTGGCTGGCGGATGGGAAGAGAGGAGGAGTCCAGACCAGACTCCATGGCTCAGACTGGACCAGTCTCCCAAAACATGGGGTTGGGGAAGGGCCGGGGTGCACCCCCTTCTCAGTACAACAACCTGCCTTCTTGAGTGGGGGAGGATTTGCAAAACTTCTGGCACACACCTCTCGTGGGTCACCTCAGCCTCAGGGCCACCCATTTCACAAATGACAAAGCTCAGACTCACAGGGCCTACAGACAGGGAAAGATGAAGCGGGGGCTCAGCCTGGCCCCCGGAGGGCACAGCCCCAGCCACCCCGGAAGCTCGCCCTGCCCTGCCCGGAGGCAGCTGCTCTTCAGGGCCTGCCCGATACACGCCTCTGCAGGGGCCGACTTCAGGCTGCCAGTCACCACCTCCGTGGCTACTCTGCCTTCTTCCCTAGAGCAGGAACGGGGGCCCGAGCCTGCCAGCCTTGCCCGGACACCCCATGGCGGTGTTTCTTTATCTTTTAGGAACCCTAGGTGCCTCTGAAGATCTGTGGGGAGCCGGGAACCCTCTCCCAGACACAAGCACCATGTGGGTGCAATGTTTCGGGACCCTTCCCCCCATCCTTAGCCGCTCTCAGGGTGTATGGGTTAAAAACGTCAGTCCTGCGGCAGTTTGAATGGGGAAAAGCTGCAAAGGAAGGGGGGGAGGTAGGAGAGGGGGCTGCCTCACCTGCTTGAAGCCCTAACCCAGATGGACGTAACCCAGACAGACCACCCAGCTCTTCCCCGAGAGGCTGGCTCTAGCTCTGGCCAAGGAGGTGGAGGTGGGATGCAGGGGCCAGCTTCCCTCCCTCACACTCCCCCAGAGAACACAGAGACCACACACAACCCCTCCTGGGCCCCGCTTCAAGGACCAAGAGTCGGCGAGCATCAGGAAGCTCAGGCAGCACCGTCCGCGGCCAACCTGCATGCCCATTTCATGGTCTCCCGCCCCCGGGCTCAGCCCTGCGGAGAGCAGCGCTTGCCCGGGTCGGACAGGCGGATCCTCCGCAGTGACCCTGGGGCCTGCCCTCTGCCTGGGGACTCAGCTGCGAGCCAGGCGGGCCATGCCTGGCACTGGCCTCTCTCTCCCGCACCAGCCTCTCCCCGCCCCCACCCGCACACAGGGTCACATCTGCTTTGGCAAACAGCCAGTCTTAAGTTACTGACTCCAGTTGTATTGATTCAAGGAGTCACTGGGGACCCCAGCCTGGCCAACAGGAGGGAAGAGCCCATCAGTCTGTCCATCCATCCGTCTATCCATCCATCCTGCCTGCCTGCCTGCCTTCCAGCCCCCAGCCCCAACCAGCTGACCCCAGCTCAGTGCCCATCCTGATGGTAACAATCCTCTCCCAGGAGCAGGAGGGGGGATAAGCAGACCCACCACCACCACACACTGCGCCGGGAGGCGGCTGAGAGGCCACAGCACTCAGCACACACCGCAGGGCGCCCGGTGCTGGAAAACCGGGAGGACCATCGTTTTCCCTGCTCAGGGCCACGCGGGCACCTCTGGAACCCAGAAGCCTGAAGCCTAAGCACCCTCTCTAACCTTGTGAGGACACCTGCCTTCAAGAGGGCAGATAATCTCTCTTGGCCCCAGTCCAGCCCCTCGGAGGGCCCCTCCCTCACAGCTCTAGGTGGGTGGGGGCTAGGGCAGCTGGCACTTCCTATTCCCTTTCCCTTTGCCCCCCCACCCCCACCGCGGTGCTGAGGCAGCCCTGGTCTGGTTCTAATCGGGGCTGAAGTCGGCTCCCTCTTTCCCTCTTCTCTCCACCGCCCCCCCCCCTCCTTCATTTCCACGGCTTTGGAAGCCGGAGTGTTCCAACTGTCTGCGTGCCAAGACCTTCCCGAGTCTGAAAGCTGCTGAAGTAACAGATCAGATTTTAGCAAGTGCTTTCCAGGCTGAGCGCCAAGCCCTCTTCTGATTCTCGGAGAGCGAGCGAGCGGGGAGCGAGGCCGGGAACCAGCCGAGGGCTGCACCACCTTGGCCGAGGGTGTGCGGAGCGCCGCCGGCTCGGGAGCGGCCTCGCAGGGAACAGCCCCTCGGCCCTAGGACTCACTCAGCTCGCTCTCAGCCCAGTCTCCCCTAGTCGCGCGTCTCTGTCCGTCTGTCTGTCTCTCTCAAACGCTGAAAACGCCTTTGAAACCACAGAGTAATTTACAACTGCAGCTAGTTCTCCCTGGACTCAAAATCCACTCGGCTGCAAGGAGCCTTTTTGTTTGGAAGAGCGATCGGGGATGTTAAGGGACGGTTGACAGAGAAAACCCCTAGGTCCCAACTCCTCACCGGCTGCGGGCAGGGGGCTTGGAGCCGGCACATCGCAGCGGCTGAGCCCGCCGGCTCCAGGGATCTCCTCCCAGCAGAGGCCGACAGAGGCCGAGCCCCGCAGCAGAGCCCCTGGCCCTGGGCCGGTCCCCGGCCGGCGCAGGGAGCGCGCGGAGCCGCCCTTCCGCGCCCTGGGAACAGGTGCACTAGGCTCGGCGCCCAGGAGGGGTGGGGCACAGGGAGGGGGCGCGGCGAGCACCGCGAGGCAGGGGCGGGGGGAGGTCAGAGTCAGAAGCCCACGTACCTGTACCTGGAAGCACAGCAGCAGGAAGTGTAAACACCTGCGGGAGAGAGAGGGAGAGATGGTTAGTGGCACGTCAAAGAGGGGGGCGCGCGTACAGACAGACACTCAGCCGGAAAGTCAGACGGGCGGGCAGACAGAGCCACGGGCACACGGACAGACGGCCAGGCAGGGTGGGCAGCCCCGCGCGCGAGCGCTTACAGGCAAGTGCAGGCGGAGGGCGCTGAATACATCGCTGGGCGGGGAGGAGGCGGCGGCTCCTAGCCCAGCCTGCACATGTCCGCTCCGCGCGGCCGGGACCGGGCGCCTCCGCCGCCTCCGCCGCCGCCGCCGCCGCTGCTGCTGCTCCCTCCTCGCCGGCTGCTGCTGCTGCTGCAGACTCTGCTGCTCCGGGGCGCTCCGCGGCGCGCCCTGCGGCATCAGCGCCCCGCGCGGCTCCTCCCGAGCGCTGCGCCCTCCGGGCTGTGCAGGAGGCTGGTGCGGGGAAGCTTGCTCACTGCCGGCCGGCCGGCCGTCCGGGCGTCCGCGGGAGGCTGGCTGCCCGGCTCACTCCGGGGACAGCATGCGTGGCGGGGCTGGAACCTAGGGCGCACTCTCCGGCCGGGGCGCGGGGCTGCACGGGGCCAGGGGTCAGCGCTCTGGGGCCGGAGGAGCGCGCGGCTGCAGCACGAACGCGTCACGGCCGCTCCGTCTGGGCGCCCGCCGGCTCATGTCTCCTCCTCCGCGTCTCTCTGGCCGTGCGCATCGCCGCCTCCCACCACTGGCGGCGGCCGGGGCGTTTTCTACGCGCGGGCGGCGAGGGGGCGGGGGGCCGGGGGCGGGCCCGGGCCCGAGCCGGCACAATGAGGATGCGGGGCCCGGGGGCTCCCCCCTCGGGGCGCGGCCGGACGGGCGCTCAGCTCGCCTGGGTGCGCCTCGCCCACATCAAAGGCGGCCCTGCCTGCTTGCCTGCCTGCCGCGGCCTCTCCACTGCCTCCTCCTCCTCCTTCTCCTGGCGGCTCCGGTTGGAGGGAGGTGCTCGGACTCGGCGACGGGACCGGCAGCTCCGAAGGGGCAGAGCCCGCGAGACTGGAGCTGGTGAGCGTCGGCAGCCGTCGGAGCTCTGCGCCAGGGAGTCAAGACCCGCGCCGCGGCGCAGACGCTGCCCGAATAGGGCAGGCGGTGGTCCCCAAGAACGCAGTTAGGTGCGGAACGTCCTCACGCGCCCACATTCGCCAGTCACTCTCACTCACACCCAACAGCGCTGGAGTGGGGGAGCGAAGAGGGGGCGGGCCAGGCCCAGCCCCCGGGGCGGCTCCCCTGAAGGGGGTCGCTTTTACCCGCCCCGTGAGTCCACGCACGACCTTGGCGTGTCCCAACTGCCTTCTAGGATAGCTGGCCGCACTAAGTGATCCCCTTCTAATCTCTCCTTCCCCTCCCCGTATTGGATACAAGTGCAGAAAACCCTGTGAGGTTGAGGGGGAGGGGTCTCCAGGGTGTCTACGACTACCCCTCCGGGGCTCTCGGCTGGGTACAAGGGATTCCAGCTGGGCTCTCTGGCCCGCGAGCCAGCTTGGGAAACGCACGGCTGCTACCTAGCGGCCGCGAGGCTTCACTGCAGCCCCAGCCCGGGCGGGCTCCCGACCCAGAGGAGCCAGCAGGACTCTGGTCAGCGACCACTCGAGGCCCAGTCGTGGCCTCCGGACCGAGACTGGCTTCCCTTTGCCTGCTAAGCAGTTTGGCCCCGTTAACCAGGAGTCCGCCCCGCCCCCAACCCCACTCACTCAGGACATCTCTTCTCACCGCCTCTACCCCTTCAGAGGCATCACTCCTACCCTTCCCACCAACCTCAAAATGTTGTCACCCGCAACTGCCTCACCTTCACGCCCTGGACAGACAAGCTCTGCTTTTTGGTCTGCCGCTAAAGGGAACAGGTCATAGTAGGAAAGAAACTGGTGGGCAAGCTCAAAAAGCAGAACCCAGGAATCCGCACTGCTGGGCTTCAAACCTCCTGTTATTGTTGGTTGGGGCTGATGCTCCCATTTCACTGGAGTGTAGACTGAGGGTAAGGCGCCCTCCAACGCTGCTATTTCTTAGAGTCTCAAAATGTGAAATAGCACCGATTGTCCCAAATACCAGGCCTCTCTGCAAGCTATTTTAAGTTCCTTTCCCAGGCTGAGGCTCTCTTAAATAGATAGCCTCTATTCTGGCATCGGACCCAAAACAAATGCAGAGAACCTTTTCAAAATTAGCTGCCAAGGGATGGGCAAAGCTCTTGTGTGAAGGGCTGGCCTGAATTTACTTGGACATTCTCATTGCCAGAACTGGCCTTGCAGTCACTGGTAAGTCCCAAGTCCTAGAGAAAATGCACCCACCCCGGGAGAGGCACAAATGGCCACGCACGCAGAGAGGGACAGAAATACCCTGCTGGGACCTGAGTCATGGCCACCATCCTTGTTCTTGCTTTATGTGAAGAACTCCGACAGACCAGTCAAGAGGCGGTTTGGCCACGTGGGGTGTTTGCAGGATTTCCTAGCTAAGAATCATGCTTCAAGTCTTCCATCCTGGCCCCCATTACTTTTGGATGGAGTAGATATGTCACGATGTTCTAGCTAAGGTGCTTGCAGGCTTTTCATGCTCAGATAAAGTGTATTTTTCCATCTCACTATCGCTAAAATAAGACTGACTCAAATGTCCATTTAAGAGTAAGAGAATTAACTGAAGTCAGAGGTCCTATGTTTCAGGGCTGCCTCTGACACAAATTCCAGCAAGTCTGAGACTGTGCTTATCTGCAAACCGCGGCTAAGACCAGTAGCACCTCCGTTGTGCATTGTTACTGAATAAGATCAGTCAGGCACACAATGGAGGCGCCAAAGGCTTTAGCAATTATTATTAATAATGCTAATTATGGTTTTCAGGTTATTTTCATGTTCGTTTCTTCATTCCATGAAGTAGGGAGGCAGGCTCATTCTCGGTTTACAGTTGAAGAGGTTGTTTAACCAGAACCTGACTTTTGACTCCCAATCCAGCCATTTTACATTTTCCCTTTTTCCCGGCATTCACCACCCCCCCCCCACACCTCGTTTTTGTATACCTGTTTAACAAACACATGAACCTTAAATGTTCTAATGTTCATATAGCACTTAAAATGTGCCACCATAGGACAGTCATTTCCCATGAATACAGTCACTACTTATTGAGCTCATCCTGTGAGACCCTGGTTGAAGATGGACAAGCTCCCTGCTCTTAAAAAGCATTTCGACTGGGGAAGATGGCCCATCAGCAGTCAGCCGTGCAAAGGAATATTCCAGGCAAAAGATGGCAAGTGCCTGCACGTAGCGAAGGCCTGGGTGAGGGGCAGGGTTAGCCAGGGGAGGGGCGGCAGATGAGGCTGCCAACAGGCAGTGCCGGGTCATCCCTTGTAGCCCCTCACAGGCCGACTGGGGAGCCACAAAGGCCTTTTCAAGGGTGCTATTTACATAAAACTTCTAAATGCATGTTTAAAGTGCGCTTCAAGTTTGACAAATGTTTACCTATGCAAACACCTTTCTCAGGCAACTTCCCCACGCCCATGATTGGTCCCAAGTTTAATCTATTGGCTCTGGAGTCTAGCTTCACATAAATCGAACCATTCAGTATGCGCTCTGTTGTGTCTGGCTCCTTTTGCTCAGCATACCTTGGCGATTCATCCTCGTCTGTTTGTTGCTTTTCTCCATAGTTGTTCCTTCTTAGGGCCAAGTAGTACTTAACGGCGTGGGGATACCACTTGGTTTGGAAATTTATCTATCGACGGCTTTAAAGTTAAAGGTCAAAATGCAGTTTTCGACCACCGCCGCAGGTGAAATGGAACCGTGCAGTAGTGACTGAGCAGGTCAGCGAGCAGGCGACTGCCGTCCAAGGTCAGGCGTTGGGCCTAGGTGGCCAGGTGCTGGGTGGCGCTGGAGCCAGCCAGACCTGCATTCCACCCCCCACGCCAGGCCAGTGAACTTGCAGTTTTCTGAGATTCCCATCTAGAAAATCCCTGGTTGCCTTAAGGGGAACTGAGAAGGTATGTAGACCGCCCCATGAATGCCAGCATTGCAGGGCAGTTACTTGTTTTGCTTCCTAATCCCCAGCCCTTAGAACTCTGGAATACAGTATATACCCAAATGTTTAGATTCTTCCTATCTCTCTTTCAAGGGAAAGTAAATAACAGCACCAGAGTCTGACTCTTGTTTTCTGCCTCTCTCCAATGGTAAGACTCCCAAATGTCAGGTCATCTGCGGAATACAAACATTTTTTTAAAAGATGGCAGACACTCCAGCCTGGGAACGTAAGACAAATAAATGCAGCCTTCAAATCTTCAACAGGATCAAACAGTTTAATAAGAAAAGTACACCCTTCGCAGAGGAGACTAAAATTTTCTCAAAACCAGCGCTTGAAACTTTCTCAGCATTAAAACAGGACCTCTACTGCCAAGTCTATGAGTCAGAGAGCAACTGGCTGTTTGTAAGAACTGGCTGGAAGGTGGCCTTGGCTTTCTGAAGTAGCTTTAACCCCGCTATCTCCAGAGCCCAGACCACTGTCTTTGATTGATAGGCTGGGGGAGCACTGGTGACCCTCGAACCTTTCTTCTTGAACAACAGCAGAACCCCACACCCGAGACAATGCTGGTCTCCCCTCATTAAGCTACTGGTTGTCTGAAGACATAGCAGCTCCCGCAGGCTTTGTGACAGGCCACTATAAACCTCATTCTATCACTCTGTTATTTGCATGGTCCGGTTTAGACAGCCCCCCCGCTCTCCCCAGATGGCCTTATGAACCTATTCTGTTCTCTGGTTGGGGTTTAAGGTAACACATCTGCAGAGTTCTCACCTGGGACCTAGCCTGGCACGACTCGAGCGAGCAGCAGCTCGCCACCGCCGGCCACCGAGCGCCCCTCCGCCCTCCGAGGGCCCCTACAATTTCCCCGTTGCCTTTCCCCCCAAGGGTTTGACCTGGTTACCCACAGTCAGCTGAACAGTATCAGCGGGCATCGCTCTCACCAGACTGTGGTCTCCACTCTTCTTTTCTTAAAGAAAGGAACCAGCACTCCGTTCCAGGTCTGAGAAAACGAAGATAAGACGCCTGACATCAAAGACCGCTGGAGTCTCTGATGGTAGAGGCCAGCTTGAAGGGGATTCCCTTGGCCCCAAAGATAAATACAATGGATTGGATGGAATACAAGTACATCCGAGTCTGAGTTCAGGATACTGAAAACTCACTAGTTACTTTCACAGGTTGCTGGG